ACAGCCAGCCATTGTGTCTGGATTGCTTCCTGTACCTGGCATTGGAGGGAACTTACCAGTACAGAACACTAAATTTGGCCTGACAAAGGTCGTCCAGTCTTTAAAAGATAAAGAGGGCCTGCAGCGCCCAAATCGCTGTCATACACCTCAGTCATTTTGTCCATCGGCCTTTTCTTGGATTAATACACTAAATATTCTGAGTTATATGAATATTTTCCTGAGTCAGTGAAATCTTTGTAAGTAGTTGTTTGTAAATTGGTCTTTGCAACAGTGACTTGTTAGCCAGAAAAACTAATAATGGTAGAAAAAACAATTCAGTAGCTTAAAGTATATTTCTGTTTTCCTAACAAGGAGTGTCTGTCAGTGTTACTGACATTAAAAGTGTTACAGAAGGGTCATTAGCTCAATGTCACCATGTTTCTTTGGTGGCTGACTTCACACATCTTTTCATGAAATCTCAAACTTTGTCATCTATCGATGCATTTCTGATATATTTGTTTTACATAGTAATTAGCTAAATAAACATTTTTGTGTATACAGCATTACTGTCAGTCATATTTTATGTAGTAATCCAAAAAGGCATCATGATAATTCAAGCAACACCTGGTGCATCCTTTCTGCTTCTGAATATAACAAAGTTTGTAACTTTGAGATGAAGCTGAAGATACTGTTGCAGAGTGGTGTCGAAGTGTATGACACACAATGTTAGTTTATGTAGTTTTTGAATGACAGATAGTAAATGTCTTACTTATATCTTTCTTTAAAACACACAATCCACAGTTTCTTCTATACATACAAACACAATCAAGGCTGTTGTATTTTTTTAACTACTCTACAGTCACTGGGGATACACACTTTGCATTGATCTTTAGGAACCTGCATCATCTTCAGACCCACTGGGATCTGAAGGCTACTGTAGCTAAGGAATCACCTAAGTTTGGGACTGAGGCTCTGACTTTCACTTTTTCCCTTAGTGCTCAGGCAGGTAGACAGAGATAACATGCACATGTGTGGACAGATTTATTTATTAATTTTTTTTTGCAAAGCTACTTGTGAGTCAGTAGCACATTGTTTTGTTTTGGGATTGGTGCAGTAATAATGATTCACATCCATTCTTTACTATTTCTAAAAGCATGAGACATGCTGACTGTTGTGAATACTGTGCTGTGTAAAATGTAATTAAAATCCTCCTCTTCATGTCACCTCTGCCTCAACCTTCTTTGCCATTTTTGTTAACTCCTATTCCCACATCTCCTCCTCCTCCTCCTCCTCCGCCTCCTCCTCTTCTTCCTTCCCAGACTGTGATCATGACACCCATGATGCATCTGTTGTTCCTCCCACTCTTGTTCAGCATTGTGAGTACATAACACTGCCAACTTCTGCTGTGGTCCTTCAGTACTTATTCATAGTAAATACCCGATTGTGTGAACCTGTTAAAAGGTCTGTGAAGCTGTCAGTGTGGATGAATGCTTCGATTTATTCATATTTCTGGGGCCCATTTGGTACATATAAGTGTGCGAAACATCCTCTACAAAGAACATATTGATAATAATCTGCAAGGTTAAGGACGTGTGTGCAAGAAAACCTTTTGTACTTGCAGAAATCATTCATTGGAAGTGTAGTGTTACCAAACTGTGCCTTAGTCCTTTCTCTGTAGACTTTGCTCTCCCATCCTACGGTGCAGTTCCCCCACTTCTCATGTACTTTTGGTTCAATAAATAACTGGACCTGCCCTCGATACCTGACTGCATTCATTTGCAGTGTCATTAAGACAAAAAGGGCAAAGATGGGCGTGAGTGTGAGAGCCTGTACTGCTTTCAGCGACCTTTGACCTTGGTTTCTGTGCTCTGATAGGCTGGTGGGAAGGACCTGGAGGAAAAGAAGGGTCCATTTGAAAACACAGGGCTAGATGTGCCAGAGGGGACACCAGTACCATTTCCCATTCATCAGGTATTACACACATGCCAGCAGGGGTGGTAAATGGAAAAATGTATGTTCCTTTATTGTACTTATTGCTCCACTGCATTTACTTTATTTGACACCTGTTTTTACTTTTCAGATGAAGACTTTACATTAAGAAACATATGATAAGGTTTTAAAATGCTATTCAAAACCCCTTACAGGAGGTCTGGCTGTCACTTATATTTCAGATGTCTGTGAGTTGTTAACATTTCCACCAAAGGTTGAGTTCTCCTCAAAAGGTCTTGCATAATTTCATTTAAGTATTGGTTTCAGGCACATTATCCAGTTTTTCACAAAAAACTAAAATATGAGTAGCTCAGAAAAAGAAAAAAATCCAAATTTATATAGCAGAAATTTGATCCCCCTCTTCCATTAATCATTTCATGGTCCCTTAGATTAACTTGTGACTGTCTGGAGGAGACCTGACCACTAGTCTGGGATCCACTGGACCAAATGAACTAAATCATAAATTTGATCTGGTCATCTCCGTTATTATAGTTTCAATTTAATTCTAACCGCGTTCTTAGAATATTTTTTCTATACACCACCCAGCCACTTTAATAGTCATAGTTAAAGGTGGTGTTGTATTGGAATACATTATTCTCAGAGGTGTTCCTAATATTCTGACCCTCTCATGTATGTAGCTGGGGAGGACAAAAATGTAGACACTATGACCTCAATAATAAACATATAATTGAATTTATACATTTATGGCACTTTCACCAAAACCTGGAACATTCTGAGCTTCATAAACACAGATGTTAAGGTAGAAGTGTTGTGCTGAAGTGCTTGCAACTGTACAGGTGTACCTAATAAAGTGGCCGGTGAGTGTAGCTTCACCTCAATCAGCTGCAACAGTTAAATGCCACCCATGCTTTCATTTTCATTATCTGATAATATAATAGATATTATATCTGTGCCTTGACATTTGGCACTTAAAGTACATTTTGCTGATAACAGTTTTATGCTTTTAAATGCAGGATGTGGTTGTAACAGAGTATTTCTACACCGCTGTACAGTATTGGTGTCTTACTTGAATAAAGTTTTTGAATACCTCCTCCTTACCAGCCAAAAAGATCATCTTGTCAAAACTTAATTATATGAAGTTTTAAGGATTTCAAGAAGTCCAGTTGCTTAACTCTATTTTCTGTGTTACCAGTTTCCCTTCTGTTTATGATCAAAGTCTTACAAGGCTATAAATGAATCTGTTATCATGTTCAAGTATCTTTTCTCCTTTCCATCTTTCACTCCACAGTTTCAGGTGACCCATCCAGGTGTGAATAATTTCAGGGTGAGTGGAGAAGGCAAGGAAACCATTAAGATTTCAAGGGATGGATGGCTCTACCTGGAGAAGCCGCTGGACTGGTCTCTTGATAACCATTACATCATCATGGTACCGTGCTCCGCTTTCTTCTTATTAACACACAGAAAGTTATATCAGTGCACTGTAGTAGCAATTCAATGTAGTTATGTATTCTTGTGTATGTGTGAACATATCCAGGTGGAGGCGTTGGCAGATGACGAAGTAGTAGAGGGTCCAATTTATGTGACTATAAATGTGTTGGATGTCAACAACCACGCCCCGTACTTCAACCAGAGTGATTATACAGCTGTGGTTAGAGAAAATACTGCAACAGGTGTGTGTTAAAAAAGAGGATGAGAAATGCTTCTAATCCTAAAGACAACTGTTTAGTGGGATAGATGAAAATGTGTCCTGTTGCTGTGGAAGAAAGGGTGTGGTTGTACACACATATAGAGCAGTGAGTTCTGTGCAAATTCATCATAGGATATGATAAATAGCTGCCCCCC